AAAAGATACTTACTTTAACAGTTAGGAAGCTTAAGAGATTATATATGTTCCATGAAGAAGTAAGGAGAAAAAAAAAGGAAGATATTTTTATTATAACTAAAAAATACAAATCAACTGAAAAGCATCTAGTTATATACGTTAGAAGAGTGTATAGAGCAGGTAATCCTGCTCTAGCAGAGGGGTTGGACTAGATGATCTTCAGAGGTCCCTTCCAATCCCTACCATTCTGTGACCCTGTGATAAGTATAGAACAAAGTATTAAGTAAACAGTTTCAGTATGCCTAGGGAAGGAAAAGAACAAATAAAGAACAATTTGAAGCCTGTATCCTGTCAGGAAGGCAGAGATCAGAAAGACCAATTTATTATTTTTAATATAAATAACTATTTATCATGATAATGACTAAGGACTGAGATCCCATTGTGCTAGGCACCCTGCAAATACATGGAAGCAAACAGTCTCTATACCAAACAGCTAACAGTCAAATATACCTTATTTTTCTTAGCTCTTTACTGAGGAGGATACAGACTTCTGTCACTTTAAACTGAGCAAATGTCACTAATGAGAAATACCAAACCATCTTTGCAGTAAATATTGCATTAATAATGCTTTTATTTTCTGAAGTGCCACTTAAATGAATACATATGAAGATATTCTCATATGTCTTGACTTGTACTCCTGAATATTATATGTGATATCTGACAACACTTGAGTATTGCTGGATATAGACCAAGGTATAGGTCAAATCCCATTTCATCCTGTCAGCAGTATTCTGCTCAGGCCTCATGTCTGACAGGATCCAGAATATGACTATAACTTCAAATCTTTATTACCACTTGTCTCACTGTCTGATCTTGGCACTGCAAGAGCTTCAGTTAATAGCCACTGTATTAAGTAATAATTAATTAATACAGCCTGACATAGTGACTCATACTTTAAGTCAGTCAAAAGAGCTCCATGCATGTTTATGGTAGAGGACATATATTTACTGTACTACAAACACACTCCATGCATGTTTATGGTACAATACATGGAAATACTATACTGTAAGAATATAAGGAAAGATTGCAAATGAACCTCCATTTAACTAATTTAATATTCATTTATCTTATTAGCCTACCACTGGATTTGCCAAAAACCTTTCCAGATGTCACTGACATTTCTTGAACAACAGAAGTAGCTATAAGCTAAAGCAAAATTATTTCCTAATGTAGACCTAATATTTTAATGACTTGCTATAAGTATACGGTTCTTTACTCCATTTCTTTTTCTGGAAGAAAGATGTAGGTCTTGTTTGTTTACTTAAATAATTTTAAGTAGCTAATATGGCATAATGGTATCTAGTACATTGCATCTGACAGTAAACACCATCTAAGAGACTGCACAGTGAAGATTTCCTCTTCCCCCTCCTATTCAATTTATTAAATTAATGGTTATTATGAAATGGCTAAATACTGTAGGTTTCCTTACTCAGGCAGGCTAATTTCTTATTAACTTGAGAGATATTTATGTAAGAACAATTTAGGCCAACAATAATATAACAGAATTTATGGCTCTGTTCCCAGGATCTCAAAAGACATATACACACACTAAATCTCACATCACTCTGTGGAGTCAGCTCCACGCAGTATCTCAAACAACAAAGGTATGCCAAACAAAGCTGCTAATTTGGACCTCATAAGAGCAGATAAAGACTAGTATCATTGGATTGCAAATAGCTAGTTTCTTGGGTATCAGTGATCATATTTGATTATATGGTTCTGAGCAAAGAAAAGTCACGTCTCACCTCAAATACATAATTGGTGCAAAGTCAAAGTTGCTTTTAGAGCCAATTCCAGTTATGAGATGAAATAAACAGTGATTAATATACAGTCAATGAAATGAACAGAAAGAACTGAGGGACTGGCAGCAGCCAGTATCAGAAGTTGTGAACACAGAAAAAGGTAGTAAAAAAACCCCTAAGAACCAGATTTGGGGGTGGGTAAGACAAAAATCACTTAAAGACAGCAGAAAATGTTAAGATAACTATTAGTAAGAAGAAAACTCTTAACAATGACAGAGACTCACTACTAGACAGAAATAGTAGAAACTACGCAGAAAAGATATAAACCTTGTTTTATACAAAGATAGTCTACTAATTTCAAATGTGCTAATAAATAAGAAAAATGTCAGAAAGCCAGCTGCTACACATTTCTGCAGTAGATGCATAACTTATATCAGAAAAACTTAGAAGAGGTGTCTAATAAAACTTCCGGCTTGCTTAAGTTTTCATGTTTTAATAAGTATTGAAATAGCACAAAGGTGAAGGTGAGCTAAATATGTCACTCAAAAAAAATTTTAAAAGTGGACTCATACAGATACAAATTAACTAACTGATATTTCTTTAATCTTTAACAAGACAATGGGAAAGGTGATTAAATAATTCAGTTACTGCAGAGTTAAGATATAGAAATATAAACATCAGTCAGCATAGTATGCAACAAAGCAGGTTTTTTTACGCAAAACCAATTTTATTTACAACTAGTAACTGAAAATAGAAATGCACAGCTGTAACTTGTAACATTGATTTAATGTTGATTGCAAGAGTAAAATAAAACAGGTAACTATAAATTTTACAGACAACTGCATTCTCAGAAAATTAGTTTTAACTAGGAAATAATTTATATTGGAATTACATGAAGACTGATGAATGTGCCTAATTGTCTCAAGAGAGAATGTGATATTTGTAAGTACAGGTGTGAACACAGTCAAAATAACTCTATCACTACCTTTGATGTTGACACACTGACTGTAGTAATGTTATTCCATCAGAGCAACAATTAATTACAACTAAAAGTAGAATTTTTAAAAAAAGAAAATCCAGTCACACTTCTAGAATACAGAACTAAAGCCTGGAAAAGGATGATTCTGAAAGAGAATCAGGAATAACAATGGATAAACAAATGAAGTTGTTGCCAACATAAACCTATAGCTATAGTGACTGATGCAGTTCTTGTGTGCATGCTTACACATACGTGATCCTTTCTAAGGAACTTAAAAGCCAAGAGAGAGATACTATAAAGAGATACGAATTCCTAGGGTAGGAAAACAGTTTACATCAAGATTTTATAAGCCTCACCTCTTCAGCTTATCAAAAAGAACACCAAATATGATTTATAAACACACCACTACTTTTATTAAGAAACTATTCCTAAAAACAAAGGTATTTTTAAGCTAGTCAGTCTAGAAAAGATGTGCCTTAGCTATAATGTGAATATTCCACCTTTCAGTGGATTCAGTATCTCACTGCCTACTCAGGGCAGAACTATGGCCCTACCTATAATGTGTCCAAAACTTTCAGTGTTATCACAGAATCACAGAATTTCAGGAAAGAAAGAATTTTTTGGAAAGGACCTCAAAAGATCATCCAGTCCAACCCCTCTGCCAGAGCAGGATCACCTATCTATCTCATTGATAGGGAAACATTGTTTCAGTCAAAGTTACTGGACTCAAAGCAAGAACTACTGGATTATGTTCTATTACATGCTGTATGAGAGGTCATGAAGAGATATTGATGTGCTCTTTCCACCTCAAATATTCCTGCCTGATATTTTGGAAACACAAGATGAGAAAGAAGGAGATGGAACATGAAGTACAATCCTCAGTACTTGAGAGCAACTATGTAACAGCCTGAAAATCCATACTAACATCCATTCTGTTCTTGCTACACCATAAACCATAAGAACAATCTATTGGAAATCATTTCATAACAAACTAAGCTTTGTTATCATTAAGTCTTGTACTACAAGAGAAAATAATATACCATAATGAGAGAGGTAAAGAAAAAAAAGGCAGAGGAAAATAAACAAAAAGGCTGCCAGAACCACAAGTCCCTGTAATGTTATGATATTTCTTCAGTTATATGTTTTCAGATTAATTTAAGAAGTTATTAACGCTCTCAACACCTCATGCAAACTGTTGATAGATCCAGTAATTGGTATAACTACAGGCATTTGAGCAAGATTGCCTTAGGAAAGCACTTGAAAAGTTTTTCAGGACAACAACACTAAAGGCACTTCATCTTCTTTCTGACTGTGATTAATCAGGTGTCTCAGGGAAAGACAAATGCCTCTTGAGTCTTACAGAAAACATTCAAAAGTCTTAATGCATGTGATTTATTAATGACAATGTAAGCAAAACAGTTACTCTGAGTATACTGAAAAATTACTTATGTGAGACAAAATGAATAGTGGAAGGAACCCAGTAGAGAAAGGGCCATATCAAGAACTTGACTGAACTTTTTTTGATTGACGCATAAGCCACAGAACTCTCTCTTATGTCAAAATCTTTAAAAAGCACATCCCTGAGAAGTTAACACTTTTTGTGCAAACAGTCTGGCAATCTACATAAATATTCAAGGTTGTATGGAATATTGTTTGTACTTCACTTACCTGAAAATTATGTTGAAATACACAGCAGTTAATACCACTATAATGTCCTTTAAGCATATTTACCAGTTCTCCTGTGAGAACTGTATAAACAGCAATGGCATTATCATATGGTACAAAGACAAACTCTGGATTACAGCCACTAGAGACAGCGAATTTGAGTCCTTTTTTGCTGTCATTATAAACTCTCCCATAATTCACCTGTAAAATGAAGAATTATGCAGTCAGCTGTTAACTTAAACTACAGGAAATAACTTCACATGAAAAGGTTGATTTCATTTCTTCTTTAATACCTGAAAAAATTAATTTTAAGCTTCCTAATGTTAATAGAACTCAAGATTTCAAATTACAGATGTCTATCAAGAGAATAATTCTTCTGTTAATTAAAGTTCATTCTCTTGATATTAACTTTAAGGAAGGGAAAGATATGCCTACAATCAGCAGTTCTACACTTAAAAATAGAATTTGCACAGGCCGCTCTGTGCCAGAGCTACACTGAGCATGTAAACTATCACTGAAATTAGAACTGGTTCAGGAATTACCACCTTAAACATTTTCCTGGATGATCCAACATCGTAATATTCTCTCAAATAGTGGAACTATTAAAAGAAATCCTTATGCACAAGGGTGTACAGTTAAAAATCAGAATGGTTTGGATTGGAAGGGCCCTTTAAAGGTCATCCAGTTCAGCCCCACCTGCTATGAGCAGTGACATCTTCAACTAGATCAGGTTGCTCAGAGTCCCATCCAACCTGACCTTGAATGTCTCCAGGGGTGGGGCATCTACCACCTCTCTGGGCAACCTGTTCCAGTATTGATAACTTTTTTTCCTTACATCGAGTCTAAATCTATCCTCTTTAGTTTAAAACAATTACCCCTTGATCTATCACATCAGGCTGAGTTGTAAACTACCATCTGTCTTATAAGCCCCTCTCAAGTGTTGAAATGCTGCAATAAGGTCTCCCTGGAGCCTTCTCTTCTCCAGGCTCAACAACCCCAACACTCTCAGCCTTTCAAAAAAAATCCTAAGTGTGAAACTTTTTGACTATAACCTAACATGTAAATATTTCAATATGAATGTCTTACTTTGTCAAGTTCTTGATCCATACTACATCATTTGCACAAGTCCAAATTTTGAGGCAAATATAGGCATTAGTCAGCATGAGTCAGGCAAGAAGGATGGCTACTTGTTGCTCTATTTTACAGTATGCTCTTTCATAGCAAAGAATACTTATGTAAGAAAATTATAGTAAAAATGAGTCATGAAAAAATCTCTCAATCATCATAAAATGTATAAAATAAGAGTCTGATTAGCACACAAGTAGGTTGGTATTTTTTCATATTGAGAGGTTATTTTCATGAGATCTGGAATTTGTTGAGTCCTTTGTGGACAATACTGCTTATTTTGTAAAGACTGTCTGTAAATATTGACCATGTTGAGTGTTGTTAATGCTGGTTGTTTTAAGAGGCATATTACTTTGCTAATAAAGAGCAATTAAAACTCCTTTACACAGCATGTGAGCTGCAAGAGCAACAATTCCCAAGCCACAACACTGCTCATAACAGAGCCATGTGCAACAAAATGGAGGAACAGAGGCTGGGACAAGTAAATTAACAAGATACACTCAGTGTAAAACACTCCTGCTTGATAGAGAAGCAATGGCAACAGAAAAAAAAAGGATGCTGCCAAAACAACTGAAGATAGAACTTAAACTGACTTTGTGCTTTGAGCACATGGATAACAGAAAACCTGCTTTTTTCTGTTTTATTCTTCCTACAGTCAGTGAATTAGGACTTCCTATTCCTTTTTGTGATAAAGGATGTACACAAGACATGCACAACTCCAACATTCATTCATCTTATTAACTGAAACAATCTACTAGGCCCCAAACTTGGCTCATTGCTCAAGAAATTAATGTGCATGGTTTAAATTCTGTGCCTTTTGAAAGGTATAGAAAAGAATTATGGAGATCCAAAGGACCAGTTAGTAAGGGAAGTAAAGGGACTATGGTGTGAACTCACATGAGCTGTACATGTATTTGTCTACTGGTGCCTTGAAATTATTTGAAACAATACTTTTGGCCAGTGTGAGAAAATACAGTACTCTGGACAATACAATTCTGGACTTGAAAATCCAAGCCAGGATCAAGCCACACCAAGTAAGAAAATTGTAAAATAGCCTACAAAACAAGTCAATGAACTAACAGGCACAGAGTAACAAAAAACAATGATCCAGCTGGTGACAGGAGAGTGAACAAACTATTATCTACTTCGGTGATGGTGATTTCACGACAGAACAACGTCTGTATATGAAGTGCTGAGAAAAAGCTGGCAAATATGAGTAGCATGGAGATAGAACTGAGTCCTTTCACTTAAATGTCTATAAGGAGTTCTTTTTGCTGTGTTCTGAAACTAAGCAGCAGAAGTAAAAGATTTCTAAGCTAGAGTAAAATTTCTTCCTTTCCTAATAGTAAATGACAGACAATAGTCATGACTGACTAAAATCCCATGGAAATTGACTGAATCTAGTACATCCTTCTTTCAAAATAAACATAGGAAACAATTTTCTCTACTGAGCAGAAAATTAAAACAGGAACTTTCAGCTAAAAACAAGCCATAGATAGGACTGAAGCAGCAGCAGAGATATAATTACCTCCCTACCTGTTTGGTTGCAATGCATATGTAGAGGGACAAGTATTTTTAACACTGCTACACAACTCCAGAAGAGAGATTCCACAAAAACACAAAGAAAGTTGCAAGAAAGCCAAGCAGACAATCAGTGAAACTCTCAGCTATGGGCAAGTGCCTTGTGGACAGTATGCTCACAACTAACCGTTAAAAGTTTCTACCAATAATCACAGCATATTAAGGTTTTCATTACTGTCTGAAGTGTCTTCAGCAATGCTGAATTAATGAACTTAAAGATACCATATTCAATCTTTAAGTATATCCACACTTCTCCATAATCTGATTGTTATTTTTTTTGTTTGGTTTGGGGTGTTTTTTGTGGTGTTGTTTTATTTATTGTGTGGGTTTTTTTATTAAGTAGAAATAATAAAAGAAATCTGGAAAAAATGCTCACAAGATCTTCTAATAATGAGATTAAGCAGCTATATCCTTTATGAAAATGAAAAAATATCCAAAATTGTAATGACAATTGCACAAATCACACATCTTCTAAAATGAAAAGCACATAAAAGTTTAACTGAAGATTCTTGAAAACTTACTAATGTGTTTTCTCCAGTGCAGCTATCCCAGAGTCGCATCCGCTCATCTGTACCAACAGTCAACAGATGAAGTCCATCATTTGTATAGCATAAACCATTAACTCTCCCACTGTGAGCAGTGTTTGCTGTTAGGAAAAAAAGAGTTGGTTCAGATTCCTACAGAAGCACTATTCTGTATACAATTTTTATAACAATGCATAGTACTGAAAGTGCCGTTTTAAATGCTGATGTATCAGTGTAAATACATAGCTTGCTGATGATACTGAACTCTGAGGTGCTGCTGACTCTCTTGA